AAACTTAAGGGTTGAAGTCCAGAGCAAATTTTGTTACACACTGATTCTCCAACCACTGAAATGGCCGCGCCAGTATCGATCTCCGGTAGAACCGGGTGACCATTTAAACCAGACATCGATTTGGATTGGTTCAGATTTGGACGTTGCTAATCAATTTAACTTACCAAATCAGATGTAGCTGGACTTTCCAGGGTGTGTACTCTCCTGGACACCAGCCAATGAGTTCTCTTACTCAGTTTAAGTCTAGTGGGATTCTTTTGCTGTCTCAAGTCTGCATACCGGCAGAAACCACCGGCCTGAATCCTGAAGAAAATTTTAACCATTTGGCCAAGGCTTAGGTTTGTTTTAGGGTTTTGCTGTGGGCTGACTTAGAACCTCTCTCATGGCCTACGTGAGGCAATGCAATTGCCTTTACACAATTAGTGTTCCCCAAACTCAGTCGGACTGGCGAGGGTGTCCTCTTCTATCAGAATACATAGCAACTCATATGCTCCACTTGCTGCATTTTCCAATTATAAGGCCAGTTGTAATCCCTGTTTGGAGTCCAGGTGGGCTTCAGCTAGTAGGTGCTTTTGCATGGTTATATCATTAATCCCTCATACCAACCGGTCTCTCAGCATCTCATTAAGGGTTAAACCAAAGTCATATGCCTCTGCTATTCATCTTAACCTAGTCAAAAATCCCGATACATATTCCCCTGGTTCTCAAATAGCCGAGTAAAACCGATAGCATCTCAGAATTAGAGGAGGCTTGGGTTGTAATATTCCTTAATTGGATTTGTCAACTCTTGAAAGGTTTTAGTATTTGGTTCCTCAGGGAAAATCAGGCTACTAATAACTGAAGAAGCTGCAGGTCCACAAGCTGTCAGGAGAATTACCTGTTGCTTTTCATCTGCCCCAGTGTCATTTGCCCGGAAAAAAATAATGCACTCTGTCCACATACTCGGCCTAGTCTTCGATGGCAGGATTAAACAAGTCAAGCTTCCTGAATAGTGGATTGATGCCAGAAACGCTAACCCCAACTCAAAGGCGACTATTGCAAACAAATTTCTTCAGGAGCGTGCTTTTCATTCATCCTCACTGAAATAATTCTATAGAGGGTGATATCTCATCAAGTCACCCTTTATCTACGCGTGGAGCATCCTTGACACTACTCCGTCTTCCTCGGAACCACATCTCAGAGTTACAGAATCCCTGACACTCCTGTTTATATCTGTCAGCCTGGGCTCTCTAATTGGACTAGATTAACAGCTCAAATTAGGGAACTCATATTCTATGAGGTCCATCTGGCTGACCTCATTATAATGATTACATCATCGTGCATGTGAAATGCATGCAGTGTAAAAATGTGTGGGGTGCCAATGCTGGTCACAAGCAATGTCTCCCATGTCACTATCCTTGCAAACTGTAGACAGATATCTTCATGAGGCAGAGGTAATAGCAGGTGAATCTAAAAGAATCAACTGCAGACCATAACACACAGAGTTAATGTAAGACATCCAAAGATGTACTGGGACACAGACAAGATATCTTCTCTGCCTGAACTGAAATATAATGCAATACACTCTTATATGCAATTATTTCTTTTGTGGGCAATGCAGGCCTGGGATGAGAAGTGTTTCAAACACTTTGAGCATTTAGACTGTACTATTACGTATTTGACACATAACTCATGTTTCATTCTCCCAGCATCTGCAGTTCTTTGATTTATTTTCATGCTGTAAGGGAGGCTTTACTCAGGTAAAGATGTTGTAAAAGTGCGCGTTTTGCTGGCAAACTGACCGTACAAATGGAATAATCACTCTTTCGGGTTAATCATTGTTCTGTTATTGTATTACTTCCTTTGTTGAATAACTTCCACTGCTTTTCTCTGGGTTTACTGCCCCGACTGGTTTAATGGGTTAAGCCTACGCCTCATAAGGACAGCCTTACTTAAATTTCAAACCTCAGTCTGTGCGTGATCTTACTTGTTCCTCAAATAGTTACATAGTGACACAGAACTTGCCAATTCACAGAAATATGATGGTGCAGAGGAAGTCATTTGGCCCATCACGTCTGCACCAGCTCTTTGAAAATTGTGACGTAGTGCCATTTTCCTGTCTTTTCCCCATAACTTGTACATTATTTCTATATGAAGTAGCTTTCAATGCCGCTCTTGAACGCCTCAAATGAACCCAACTCCTCCCTGCTTCTAAGCAGTATATTCCAGATCCTAAATATGCACTGAGCGACAAGCTTTCTCCTAACAGCTCAGTTACTTCTTTTGCGAATTACTTTAAAACTGTACCCTCTCGTTCTTCATGAACAGGAACAGTTTCTCCCTATCTGCCCAGTCCAGACCTCTCATAATTTTGAAAACTTTAGTCAAATCTGCACTTCCCTTTCTCCTCTCCAAGGAGAACAGTCCCAACGTTTTCAATTTATCTTCATAACTGACGTTCCCCATCCTTGGAAGTATTCTCATAAATCACTCCCACATTTTCTCCAATACATTCACATCCTTCCTGAAATGTGCCAGCAGAACTGGACAGAATATTCCTGCTGAGAGTGAACTACTGTTTTACATAGGTTCAGCATAACCACTTTCTCTTACACTCTGTGCTACAATGAATAAATCCCAGAATACTATATGCTTTACTAACCTCTCTCTCCGCTTGTCCTGCTACCTTTAATAATTTGTGCACATATGCGGCCAGGTGTCTCTGTTCCTGCACTCCCTTTAGAGTAGTACTGTTTATTTTATATGGTCTCCCTATGTTCTTTCTACTGAAGTGTATCACCTTGCACTTCTCTGTATTGAACTTCAGCCTCTTCCCTCACTCCAACTTATCAACATCCTTTTGGATTGATACGCTGTCCACCTCAGAGCTTGTGATGCTTCCAATGCTTATCGTCTACAAACTTTGAAACTGACACCATGGTATAATCATTGATATCATCGTGAGAAGCAACAGTCCCTAATATTGACCGCTAGGAAACCCCACTGCAAACCTTCCTCTAGCCCAAAAGATATTCATTAACTATTACTCCCTCTTTGTATCCATGTTGCTACAGTGTCCTTTATCCATGAATTATACCTTTTCTCACAAATCTGTTGTGCAGATCCTCGAAGGGAAAATGTTTGAGATTTTGTATTATTATTAGATTTGGTCATGGGTGTCAAAGTGAAAAACCTCATTGAGTGTCATAACATTCAAGGCTATGGGCTAAGTGCACGAAAGTGGGACGAACGTAGGTGGTTGTGAATTTGGGTGGTACAAACTCAATGGGTCGAAGAGCCACTTCTGTACTGTATGATTCTATCATCTTTCCTCAAACCTAACTCCAATCTGTATTATGACTGTTAGCAAGAGACTGTCAAATTACTCTTTCATTTATAACTCATGCGTCACTAATAGGACAAGACTTTTCCTTTCATCTCTATTGATTCATCCCTTAACCTAATTTACCTGGAAATTCCCCAGGATATAATTAGGTCTTGACCTGAAGTCTAATGTGTGAATCTTGTTTTCTTGAAACCTGATACCTTTAGGAACGAACCTCAGCTTCTCACCTCAAGATTTTCCACTGGGAGACTTGAGTAAGCACCCACGCAGGAGTCTGTCTTATATCTGATGAAATTCAATGAAGTTCAATGCAGAGAAATGTGAAGAGATTCATTCTTAATTATTCCTTCAAGGTATAGCTATAGAAAGCCATGTATTAGCTATTTCTAATTGCCCAGAAGTCAGTTAAGAGTCACCCTCATTGCTGAGTCACATCTAAGCCAGACCAGATAAAAATGTCAAACTCCCATCTCTAAAGGATATTTGTGAACCAGATGGGTTTTAATGACAATTGACAGCGGTTACAAGTGATCACCATTAAGCTTGGATTTTATTCAGGATTTTTCACCATCTGCCATGGTCGGATTGAAACTCATGCCCGCATTACGTTGGCAGGAAGAGCATCGTCAAAACAAATGTCACCGGCTCAAACATGGATAAGGAAATCTCCAGCTTACTATGTACCAACCTCCCTCGACTGATGAATAAGTGCTCCTCTATGTTTAACCTCCATGGAGGAAGCACTGAGGGTAGCAAGGGTAAAAAATATACTCTCTGTAGGGGATTTCACTGGCCGCAAAGGGTGGCTCGGGACCAGCAATACTGATCGAGCTAGTCGGATCCTAAAGGACATAACTGCTAGACTGAGTCTGTGGCAGGTGGCGAGGGAACCAACAAGAGGGAAAAACATACTTGATGTCATTCTTACCAATCTGCCAGCTGCAGATACCGATACTGTCATGGACAGATGTAAGAGTGACCACCGTACAAACCCTGTGGAGTTGAAGTCCCACCTTCACATTGAGAATATCTTCCATTGTGTTAACAAGTTGTGGAGCTGGATGAACACAGCAGGCCAGGCAGCATCAGAGGAGCAGGAAAGCTGACGTTTCGGGTCTGGACCCTTCTTCAGAAATGATCCT